CTTTACTGGTATTAGACCTTGATCGCGCTCACAAGCTACTACTACAATTTTGTTGGCTGAAGCCATGCAAGGTTCAATTGACGCAAGTATAAATGCCATGATGTTGGCATCACAGGGCAGCTGGCACAATGCCTTTCTCGGCTGTCTTCCTATTCATCTGCGATGTACTGTTTCCGTCGCCTGCTCATCTGTGTCTCCTATCCCTTTAACCAACTTGAAGCGATGTCTGGTATCACCAGGGGCGGAACTACTAGCATGTAGTGGAACTTCACGTTGATTGCTGATTTCTCAGATGGAAGTGATACCAAGCTATGTTTGCTCTGTTTGCAGCTCAAGTTCCCTGAGGATGAACCTCGGCAAGATGTTCCAAGAGTTCACAATCCCAAGCAGCAACAACTGTCGACGAACAGGAGAATCCTGTTCCCACTCCAAGATGGGGACTGAGAGGTCGCTTGCAACTTTGCTTCGGTCACTCCAGACCGTGGATGGAAATCGGGATGCTTTTGGGTAGGATGCTTCCATTTCTCCCTGTTCTAAGCCGCCCTAGGAACTGACAGTTCGTAAATCTAGCCTCCTACCATCATCGACGGGACTTCTCTCTCTTCTCTCCAATCCATTGAACGTAACTTTATTATCCTCACACCTATTACACTCCCCGGCCCTGTGGAATGGGGAGTTCGACCTGGAAACATGCCGGCGCATTCTCAGCGTTTTTAATACAGCGGCGATCAGCGTCGTGCACAATGAATCACCAAAACAGGGACCTCCGTCTTCAAATATTCAAAGGAGAGGGCTTGGGCGTGAGGAATGGGTGAAGGCGGTTGTCCAGGGTGCGGATGACAAGTCGCCGCGTTGGAGGCATTGTATTTTGCTTGGAGGGATCTTGCTTGGGATGGAGGGCCAGGATCGACGGAGTCTGCCATTGCACTTGAGGAAAAAACTAGAATCGGGACTCATGACGGCATTCCAGCTTTCGTTGAACGAGCTCGATTCATACCCAAGAGTTGCGCGATATTGTATTGCGTTGGCCATGAATTATACTTTCGAATTTCTTGCGGATTCCGAAAGAAGCCGATTGGATTATAACATTGTCCTTCCTCTTCTCGTGGACACCGCCTTCTTCTCTCCCGCGGGGTTTGAATCTGGGTATTTCCTAGGCGCGATTGACCGGGACATCCGCGAGACCCCTTCAAGAAAATTCGAGTGGCAGGCCCAATCCCCAACTTTTCTTCACATACGCGCCATCACCGCAAAGCCGCTTATCTCCTCTCTGGGTCCCTTATCGCGGCTAATTGCACATGGTATTGAAAACTGCCAAGCACAGGGCCGGGTGGTGCAAGCGGTGGATTCCCTCCTTAACTTCTCGAGGACATTGATGGTTCAGTGGCGGCAAAATAAGCTGTCAGAGGTCGATATCTCTGAGGAGGCGGAATTCCTCGATGAGGCATCACTCACGACAACGATACCCATTCTTTGGCAATTATTGAAAACCTCCCTATTTTCGATCATTATTCTTCTAAGGGCTGTTCTAGGAAGAGTACTGAATGATCGTCTCCTTGCGGCCGACGACTGTAAGTCTGGTCCTTTTAATTATCTTATTGGTAAATTATCATTAACTTTTTGTTAGGTGCACCAACACTCGCTCACAAATCCTTACACATTCTCCGCAATATTTGCTTTATCTCATCTCGAATTGGACAAAATGCGTCTTCCCAGTATACCTTTGTTAACCTTGCTGCAATCGACATCCTCTCACAGTATCCATCTGCCTCCCAAGAATTTTTGGAGAGTATCCGTCCTGCTGTAACTGGCTGTATTCCAGATTATCCTGTCGATAGATGTCTAGATCTGTTTTTCCTAAACACAGCTGAACATTTTGCTTTGATACTATCCCCAGCCGTTAACGAGGAGCTGTTAATTTCCGCTGCACTGCCATATCTTGCCGCTGGCGGCAACAACAATCTTCTAGAAATATTTGAGGCAGCACACAGTGTAGTACTTTCTGTTCTCGCAGCGCCCAAAAGTGCAGATATGGCGGCGAAGCATCTCCCGTTTTATATCGACACACTTTTCACCGTATGTGCCCATTTTGTCCCTCTTCAGCCTCGTCGTTTACGCTTGATACTGAAATTTCATTGAAAATCTAACAATATATATATGTCTCAGGTGTTCCCTCAAAATCTCTCCGCTCGCCAATTCCGCCTAGCCTTCAAAACCGCGATCCAAATCACTGCGCCCCCATCCCCCTTAGCAAACACCCAACCCCTCCTCCCCTCAATCCTCCTCGAACTCCTGTATGACAGAGCCCTACACGCACCCACCACCCCGCTACCACGGCCTGTTGCCTCAACCTCTGTCGCCGTCGACCTTCATACTCTCAGTAACAGCGCGCCCCCACTATCCGAACAGGCTGTCCTCGCCATGACCATGATCGACTGCCTATGCTTCCTCCGCCTGGATACGTTGGAGGAACAGCTACCGCTCGTCGCGCACCTGGTCAATACCATCCCCGATAAGGGGATGAGGCAGCAATGTCAGGAGAGGTTTTGGGATGCGTTGAGCAGTGGGGAGATGGATGTCGATCGGGCGAATTTCTGCGTTACGTGGTGGAGTACCAAGGGTGGGAGGGAGATGGTGTTGTTTTCGTCTGAGGAGGATGTGAAAATTCCGTACATGAGTGGCGGCCTTGGGGGGCGGAGCCGCGGAGTAGGTTATGATGGCTACCCCCTCCTGAGGCGGGATGTGGGGGGCTTTGCGAGTAGGAGGCCACCGTTATCTGCAATACGTTATCTGGTCATCTAATAATCATATAT